CCCAGAGCATTCACCACCCCGTTGCTTACCTACTCATTAGTTTACGTTCGCCGTGTTTGCTGTTTTTATTGCGATCGGCTCGCCTAGCGAACACAAGCGCATACACAAACACCCGGGTGTTGATAGCAAATCAGTATCTATTACCGTTGATTCCACCTCTACGCTCGTGTGCAATCGCAACGCTCATTTTTCTTTACAAATTCTTGCACATAAATCTTGTGCCCTTCCTCTCTTTCTGCACTTGTGTAAGAAAGCGGTCTAGTTTAAATAAGGTCATTTATTGCTGTTAAGTGTAAAAGGCGAAGCGCTTTTATCATTTTGGGGACGTGTAAACACACACGTGAACAACTGACAACCTCGCACCATAAGAACAGGTGAACTATAGCGTTTTTTTATCGGTTTCCTAATGTACGCATTCTTCTCTCAGAGGTGATTTTTTTGTGTGCTGTGATAAAGTACAAATCTCTCGTTTGATTTGCCTATCCGGAAAAGCGGTCGCTACTTCTTTTGTTTGCGAATTAGTTCAATAAAAAATTACGGCGTGATGAAAGAGCAGTTTTACTCTTCGACTGTAAAACTTGGCCTAAAGCGCTCGTTAGGTTTTTTTGGGGCGAAAAATGGCGTCTGCTCATTTTGTCAGACATGAAATGCCGCTTGAGATACCTGCCAGATGGTAAAAAGTCGTTTTGGCAAGATTCTTTTCGCCCACTTGATTACTTCTCAAGTAAACCGAAAGTTAATCAAATTAGAAATGGTAAAATGGTGTGACATTGCACAGACCAAGGCTAATGACGTTTGGCCATGCGATCTTAATCGTTCGCGAAGATTTCATTGGTAATTAGGTGAATGTCGTGTATTTGTTTTGAAATAGCGAGAGGTGTGAATCGGTGCAATATCACGCGTTAATCTGTACATAAAGCGATTTTAAGTTTGCTTAGATGTGGTTACGACGATGTCTCGATCTTTGTTTGGCTTAGGGAATCGTCTCAAACATCTGCTATAGCTCAAATGTCCTGAATTTATGGATATCTCAACTTCAAGATGGTTTGAAAAATTTATGAATATAGATTGTTCCTCTATTGTGCTCTCCTTGATCGAATTTTTCTTTGTCTTGGACCTAGCATAATCCAGCCACATTCAAGTTCTGTTCTCTACCAAGTGGAAAACAAGATGAAGACCTCCCACACAAGCTTTTTGAGTCCCTTCGTCTCACCTTGATTGTCGTCCCAATCTATTGAATAAGACGGATCACAAGCCCATTCATAAATTTTTGCAGCCTTTCTAAAGAATGGTAGATTCCAGCTGACATCTTCAATTACTAGCTGGTGTTTAGACGAATACAGTCTCCATAATAATTAGAGTTTGTAAACATGCGAGCGCATAATAGTAGGCGGCGCGTTTCTGAATGTGTAGTGCGCGATTCTGCTGATTACGGTAGTTTCACTTTCGCTTTTCACTCGCACGACCAACGCGACGCGCGATTGCCGATTACGGTAGTCGCGCCTCCGCCCACTCGATTTCGGCGCCTCGTAGGTGAAGTGCGCACTTATTCTGTTTGCTTATCCTACGCGTAAATCTCGTAGATTTAGCGCTCGTAGGTGGATTCATGGCGCCTCGTGGTTAATGCTAATATTTGCCGATGATGCAGTAATCTACATCGAACATGTCCTCGTAATCCGTTATGACAGCTATGACATTCTTCAAAGTGTTTGCAGTGTGGCATCAATGATACATTTGCGCTCAGCAAAGACAAAGACTTGCAGAATGTCTATACTATGGCGCCAGCAGCCTTTGTAGAGACATTCGAGTCTATTTCTAGTGTATTTGCTTTGCTCACGAGTTATGACAGTAATTAAGGTTTTTTTTTCTCTTTTCGAAGTCCCGCTTCCGCGCTCACGGTCATCGCAACGGATCGCATTTCTCCACGGTCGCCAACGCGCAATCTCCAAAAATTTATGGCCCATTCATGAAAGACTAATGCGCGGCGGCTCATTTGAGACATCTTTTGTGAAGGTCGGAAGCGAATTGGATTTTTTTTTGAGTCTGGCTGGGGCAGAGAAACGAATACCAGTAGGCAGTGCCTTCGCAGACAAGTGATCCTTTCGCACATGCTGCTGCATGCCGCGTTAGGGACGGTAGTCTACAGAGGCGGTGCCTAAGGGCGGTTACGATCGTCCGTCTGCACTCAGCTCTATGCTGAAGATCGTTTTTGTAGAATTTTCGGGCAATTTGCGGTTCAGCAATTGTGAATGTTGCATTTTGTAGAAAATGAGACGATAGAAAAGCGTTTGACCAAGAAATAAATCAGTTTTGCGTGACCGTTACAAGCACCATTCATTCCCATTTCCCTGTGTCTCGCGTTCCATGTGCCCGCCTTGCGGGGCGCCCCATCCGTGCAGTGGGCGTGGCCTGCGTTTTTTGCTGAATTTCGCGTGGAAGTACAAGAAGGCCGCGCTCACTTCGATAAGATTATATTTGGCCGCGCGCCGGCGGGGCGCGCGCACCCGACAGCTTCCGTAAGCGATGCGCTACGGATTATCTACACACCACTGCCAACGCGCCGCTGAACCTGATTACACTAATTTCCTGCCTCCTCATGTTTTCATTTCTTTTGCACTTTGTTTGCCTTGCTAGTGACCTTCAGTTCGGCTCATCGCTTTCGCATTCATTCAGCCTTTGGTGTACGCTTTCGAAGTCACGGTTTTGTGAATGTCGCCTGTGTCCGGGGGTGGAGAGACTTTTATTGTCCCAGATGTGCAGCTACCTCCTCTTTATCTCTCAGCAAGAGCGTTGGACACATTCAAGTTCTATCTATTTGAAAGAATTTCAGCTACGCATGTTTTGGCAGAAATCATAAAATGACTTTTGTTGGTTTGATAGCAGCTGTCCCATATGATTTGTCATTCAAAGAGAGTGCTGATACTAATGCACATGGAAAAAATTGTTACTGCGCCCTGGATTGATATTTTGACACATTTTGAGGAGTTGTTTTTGTAGCTGAAGTAAAATCTGTTGAGAATTTCAAACTAGATTTTTGCACATTTGATTTCTTAAGAAAATATATATGTAACAGCATAAATTGTTGGTTCAGCAACTTTCGCAGGCATCGTTGGAGGCAGGTTGGCGTAAGCGATTAATGTGCTTTCTATGAGCTCTTGGTGAGCGTGAAAGCCTAACAACCTTCTATTTTTGGAATATCTGCGTGACAAATTCGTAAGAAATTGACGTGAAAATTTGCATTTTCTTATCTAAGAAAATTTGCAAAATCTCACGGAACCTAGTAGTTTTTGCCAAAAATGCTGACTTGAAGGTATGCACCGTGAAAAAATTTGATTGACAGTTATAATAGCGAAACAGTAGTATGACTGCGTCATCTCAATTTTTTCTTGACCAGGAACTGCATGTGATCAGCTCTCCACTCCACTTATACTTGTCAGAACTTTCTTTCGATAACATACTTAGATTGTAGCTTTTACCGATCTGCAGATAATTGTTTTTTCTGTCCGTCGAGGCTTATCTGTGTGTTTGTCATATGAACACAATGGGTGATTGTTGTCTGGAGAGCAGCTCTCATTAAAATTTGCAAATAAGTCTCTTATCAAGCCAGTCTGCTCCACTATTTTGCAGCTTTCATCTCCACCACCACTTGTCTAGTCCCGTGCAAAATGTATATATAGTATGCACCCAGATGCACGCCAACGACAAATATCGTCCTACTCCCGCTGTCAGCCGATTCTTCGGCGATACACATTTGCCGTGATCATGTGATACCAGGTTGCAGAAGCACTGGTAAATATCTATTTCCAACCTGGTGCTAACATTGTATCTTTGCACCTCGTGCCAGAGCGATGCAGGTGTCACACGGAAGCTCAACATTCTAGCGCATGTTTACTCCATGAAACGTCGTCGACGTCGACGTTGTAGACGTCGTCCGTCGACGGCTGTAATGTTTATGGGTTTATGCTACATGTATACAGAATATAAGCACAGGCGTAGTCTTATCACCTCCATACATGCTTGTGTAATAGTTCGTCTGTTAGTATTATGAGGCCATGTGCTCATGCCGTCAGTGTTGGCGACGTGCTGGCAACAGTGGCGGCGAAGAGCCGCCGCTTGCATGCCACGAGCATGCTGACAGCATGAAAAGTGCGAGACATAGCAGTGCACTATGATGTGATTCATCTGTAAGTGCGGCCAAAGTTGCGTCTATTTTTAACTATCTCACAAGACTGCTAAAATTTTTATTTAAACCTTGGCCTTACTTTATCCCCCCCCCCCACCTCCATCTTTCTTTCTTCTTCACTTCTTCAGTTCAGTCAAGGCCATGAATTAACGTTTTTGTTCTACATCCTAAACGCTTGATTTTGCTGTCCTAGCTAATCCATCATTTTGACAAGTTTTTCTACCATTCCTTTTTCGTCCTCGTACTGCGCGATTCGACGACACAAAAATTCGGCTGATTGTCTGCTTAGGCGACCAGTGATCATTAGCAAACTGGTCGAACCCTTTCCAGCGGAGCTTCGACAACTTATCACTGAGAGTTGATCGTTATAGTGACATGTCTGGTGCAGATAATGCTCACTTACTGTAGGTTTTATTACTTTATTGAAGTTTTTTAGTACTGGTGCGAGAAGCTTACCTTGGTGGTGTCAGTCGCTAACAATTTCAGCTGACAGTCTATTTTGTCCTGTTGATGAGCGCTCTCTATCAGAACTTCCTCCATCAATAAGCTAAAATGTCATATCTGGGCAATCCCGATTTCGAAATCTGTCAGCTACGAATTTTTTCACTTTATTGGAAACACCAGCATCGAGTCAGCCATCACTAGTTTGCTGTGAAAATATCATTCGCTAACGTAATTTCTGTGTCTTTAGAATTACCTCTAAACTTTCCATGATCACAGAACCTCCCTTGAACTTCTGATAGATTACGTTTTTTTTCGTCTTGGTACTCTCACCGCTATTTATACATATAGTCATCAGACCTGAGGTCATATTATTATGAACTCGACACATCCTTGTCTCAATGGCTTCCGCGTTTTGTTATCATCACAAACATTGTTTCACATCGAGAGAATTATTGCTTTCGTTAATTGTCATGCTGTGCTGTACGTACTTTTACCTATCTTCAAAGATAGGTCGGTCCCGCCCTTTCGCGTCGCATGGCTGATGTAAAATTGTAACGAACGGAACGGTATATCTGTGTTTCAGATTGTAGGCGTCGTGCCATTGTGCGCTCGCCTCTCGCATCGTCAACTGGTACCCCCCTACAGAAGAGCGCATCCATAGCAGTTGTCTGTGTATACTGTGTGGATACGAACTACTCACAAGCTCTTATTGAACTAAATATCCAGCCGATCCCATATATACAACATATTTGTACTGTGTGTTCGACGCTGGACCAGATGACATCGATGGAAACTACATCATCCGATCTTGCCGTTGCAATGAAAAGCGTAACCTTGGGTCCTTGCAAAGATATGGGACGTAAGAAGCTTGAACTCAAGCTGATCACCGAGAATACTGAGGCGGAAAATGCTTGTGAGGTAAGGCTTGTTCGATAGATTTTTTTTGGGGGGGGGGGGGAGGGGAGGCTTCGAGATCGAAGAAGAGTTGCCAAACTGGAGGTAAGGTAGGCGCCAATCTAGCCGATCGTCTTGCTTCAGCAGGACGCAGCGCAGTTGTCATCTGGTGTTACGTTGGATAAAATGTGAACATTGCGGATGTCGCGATTTTTGTTTAACGTGATGCCAAAATGACAGGTTAGTGTGCTGCGTTCTGCTGGAGCAGAACGATCGGCTAGTCTGACGTCTATCTAAGCTTATAGGCCTTGGCTGCGTCTAAAAGAAAAGTTGCGCCCGAAAAAGAGCAAACAAATCGTAGTGCTTTCTACCACTTCCAGTCGCTCCCTAGGTCGAGGGGGTTTGGTAGCAACCTTACCTTACCCTTAACCTGTTAGAATCGCTATCAAACCTCCTCAGTCAGCCTCCTTAGGTTCGTAAAGTGTGACTAGAATCTGCACGCTGCCATAGAATTCTGTGCGATTCGGCGTGCACTAATACACCAATGATCGCGGCTAAGATAGATGGATGATCAGGCCAAGATGCTGTATCTTTTCCCCGCTGGAACTGCGTCTCCTTACCACGAAACAACTCTAGCATTGTTTACTTGCTGAACTCTCCGACCTCTTCGAGACGTCTCGCTCTCGCTCGGCATCCGCTCTTATCATAACCATTTTCGTGCGCTAATTTATCGAAGCTCTAAAACGGCTGAGCGTAATGTGAGCAGCACAACAACAAACACGTGATTTCCGCTGAACTGATCGCGCTGGTCCTAGGATAACGCAAAGAATTCTGATAGGATTTTTTATGGCTTATATGTTCTTTTTTCAGGACGATCCACCATCACCCTGCTACAGTAGCCCGAACGATAGCGAACCGCCTTCGCCGGATTCTGGATTCTCGTCCGACGAGAACGCTTCGCCGTTAGCGCACAGGTTAGCAGCTCAGTAATTCGGCCAAAATGATCTGTGGACTCGAAAATATGTCAAATGAATGTGCTGGGTGGATAAAATGGTACGTATCATGGAAAGGGCAGCTGTACTCTGGATAAAATCGGATATGCAGTATCCGGCCCGAAAATGGGATGCGTGCAACATTTTTGCCTGTCTGGAGCGGGGGACGAGGGGAAAGAGGGGGCTGAAAGTAGAGATTGACGACAGCTTAAGCTCTGAAAAATGGTATTTTTTGCCAGAGTGGGCTGTAAAATAGCACCTCAGAGCTCAAAGGGTCAACATCTGCCAAAAGCGCTACTTATCTTCCGAATTGTCCAATGCGTTGAATGTGGCGCCAAGGTGTGCGTAAATTTGGCAAAAAACAGCGAAACTGCTACTTTTTTAAGGTCTCCACACCTGCTCGAAATTTCTCTGCTTTAAGATATTCGTAGAGATTGGAAGACGCCGCTATACTTTTTTCCTGCAACGAATGCACCCTCGTATAAGCGAGTAGATGAGTAAAGTGCAATTTTTTGGACGACCTCGCGTTTTCCGTGCACAAATTCATAACTGGACGGCCATGACACAGAAACTTCTACCACAGTTACTGCTGCTACTGCTGCTGCGCGTAAAAGTTCGTTAACTTCTGGCGTCTTGCACCGACTCGGCGATACCGATGCTGTGATGGGCGCGAACATGTGGAATAGAGCCTGTTTTGCTGTGAATGATGTGTTCAGTGCTGAGAACGTTATGATTATTAATTGTTTGTTTACCGCAATCGGCTACTCATCGCGCGCGCCCCAGTCGCATCGCGGCTGCGCCCGTCGCCGCACCGCTCACCCCATCGCGCCATCGCACCCCCAAACACCCTTTTCCATCTCAAAAGCGTAACGCATACGCACACACACACCACGATGGGAGATTTATCTCCCGTCTCGCATGGGCGACAGCGATACCGTGTGTGTTTTGTTTGAAAAAAAGAATAGACGACGTAAATGAGCGTTTCGAAATGGTTGTATTTGTTCCGCGTTGGCGTCTGGAAGCAGAATGAAGGAGACGCCGTCTTTACGGGAAGACCGCATTCCTAATTTTTCTGGGAAACGTTTAGCGCATTAATTGGATGTTACGTATGGCAGTTCGTAAAGAGCGTTTTTTTTGCCAATGCAAGCACATTATTTTTAGTTGCTTTGTAAGACGCTCTCAGCTGACAAGAAGCTTACACTGCTCAATTTTTTCTTTCATTTCCCAATGACAAGTGCAAGCTGCTGAGCAGGAATCCGCACAATTGCACGTCGAAAGTTTGGTTTTTTCCCCTCTCATAATCAGTGAGCAAACAAGAGAATTATGAGTGATGAGTGGCGCTTTGAGGGATGGTTCGGGTAAGCGGGGAGCTGGAAGAAATAGTATCTTATGATAGTTTGATTGTGGCGCTTTCATGCATTTTGTGGAGTCTAACGCCATAAAATGCCGCTATTCAGATCAAGGAATCCCCATATCAAGGCGAAATCGTAAATCTTTCCCATTATACGGGTGAAGAAGTGTCTGGAAGGTTGGATACGGAGATAAATGACAATGAAGCGCATGGCCCATATCCTTTTTTGTGGTCAGCGATTGGGATTGAACGGTGACGCTTTGGATGGGCTTTAAATGTCTCTGGCGTGGGTGGAAGTAACTCCGCCAGTAGGCGCCTCCTTTACGGACTACTAGTCCTTGCGCACATGCTTCAGCATATCGTGTGAGGAGACCAGTAATCCGGAGGACGGCGCTCGCTGCGAATTCGTTCCTGGAAGGGTGCGATGAAAATTTGAGTGAACTTGGGAACTCAGGTCATTGAGTGGGAAAGGCGACGAGTAATGCCACAGCACATCCTCGAGGGAAAATGTTACACATTCCATGAAATTTCCACCAGGTTTTTTAATCCAAATCTTTTCCAGAGATACTCGAAGAAGTGCTCTGCCATCAGCGCTACGCCGAAGGCCACGATCCAAAGTATGTGCAAAACGTGTACGTTTTGCCGATGCGCTCGGATTGGACTTGGAGAAACGCAAGTATTTCACAGAAAAGGAATCCAATCCGTGAGTTACTCGATTTAATCTCGAAGTACGGGGTATATGTCCGCTACAGTTTCAGTTTCCCGACACCACCATCGTCACCAACACCCGAACATCGTCTTGTTCTAACAAATTTCGTCTATCGCACCGAATCCGAGTACAATCAGCGTGCTCGTGATAATAATGTGTGCTTGGCGAAACTTCACACTCAAGGCCGTAATATAAATGGCCAGATAAATGTCTCGAACATTGCCTTCACTAAAGAAGTGAGTTTTTTTGTCTGAATTCATAATGAGAATCCCGCAGACGTTCGCGATTTGCGTGTGGATCCAGTTTCAAATGCAAGAAGTGTGCCTATTTCCATTGTTGTTTTAGGTAGCTATCCGTTATACGACAAACGACTGGGCCAGCTACGATGAAGTAGCAGCCTCATATGGACACAATGTTTTCGGAGCGAACAATGTTGACGCGTTCGTGTTCTCATTGATACTCCCAACTGATATGAAGGTTAGTTCAGTAATAAAACTGATACTAAGCAATAAAGTTGTTATCAACAATGTTAAGTACTAAATTGGGTAAAAATTTATGGCAGTAAAATGGCAGTAAAATCATGTGATAACGATGTTTTGATGGTAGAAAGATCCGCATAGCACGGGGCGGGGGTGGGGGGAATGAGTTCCTTGTTTAAGTGTAAATATTTGCTATCGCAAAAATAGAAAAGTAAAAATAACATTTAGTTCGGTATAAGAAAACCAGATACTTGGATCATGGGCCATTTCAACAAGTGTCAGAGATTAGCTTGGTGGGGACCAGTTTTCGCATTAAAATCAGCTGTCAAGCGCAGATCCAAACATCGAGCTCCGCGTTGGTAAGAGTCGCAAATGTGAAATCATAGTCTGACAATCGCTTGATAGAGTTAGGGATGCAACATAGGGTTTAATCTTGAGGGCCATCTCTCGCTATTAGAGCGTTGCTGGGGACTAGTTTTCGCAAAAGCCATCACGCGCGAATCCAGAACTGAACATTTGGAGGGTAGAGTTTAGTTTTTTGTGGTATTCGCGGTAGTGAAATATCACGTTGGTAGTGATGGGAGTTGAAATATGCGTAACTACCCAGGGGACCAGTTTTCGCATAAAAATATAAAACCTGATGACATTTACACATCTGAATGATGTCGTTGCAGGACGGCCAATGCCAATTCTGCGTGCGCTTCTTAGCCGGAGGCCAAGAATTCTGGGATAACAACGGTGGCGATAACTACCGCGTAAACATGGTGCAAGAATCGTCTGCACCATCTCAAGTCGCTCACACCCTCGAATCGCCATCAACGAAGCCGACGCACCATTCAGTCACATCTTCGTCGTCGTTCTTCACACCCCGCCGTCTACGTCGTTGGGGACGAGCTCAAGAAGAGTCGGACGATGAGAGCTCACGCATCTACATTCCTCGCCGAAGAGTACTGTAGAAGCGACTTCACGACATTAGTGTAAGAGTTACTAGTTTCCCTAGTTCCCAATGTGTGTATTTGTATATTGTCCTTAACCTATATCTCACTCGCCATGTGTATCCTGCATTGCTTGTGCACAAACTTTTGCTCTGACTACAGCCACCCATCCTTAGGTGGCGAAATGAAAGAAATGCACACGACACGACATCGCGGGTAGTTTTATGAAATGTCGTGTCGTGACATTTGCCACGACGTATGTGTCGACGTCGTTACACTGCACATGTTCTTGCTCATTTGAATCATGATGATATTCGCTTGCTCTGCTCTTCTTATCAAAATTAATATGCGGTCGAATTTATATCATGTGCCTTTGTAACTTTGTGTATGAGTATGGTTTATACTTCCGCGCTACAAAAATACGCTACTGTCATGTGAGTTGCTATAGTCAAGTAGTAAAGCGCATTACTGCAATATCCAGCAGTTATATCATATAGTCCGTTGAGCAGGTCATATAAGTGCCTTCAAAGGTAGCGTAAAGGGCGTCGAAGTATAAACACTGCTTTGTGAATCATCTCATTTTATTGATATTCATTTGCATGCACTTTGTTACACTCTGTCTTAATCTCTCATTCTCTAAATTTTTCAAACACGATGAGTTTTTGTCTCATCCGACTAAGCTCGCTTTGTTAGAATCTAGTGATAGTTACGTAGTCCGCTGCAGGGTAGTGCTCTAAACACAGCAAAGCGCTGTCGACAACGAGCGACATTTTGTCGCCTGCTATGCTAGGCCAAGTCGCTCGCGGTCGCGCGCTGCGCCTCGTTTTTTGTATTATACCATTGTATTGTAGCGTTCAGAGAAACGCTTCATCTCGCCAATTCAAATTTTTTTCAACGCCCTTTGGCCTTGTTTGTTGTCGGGTTACTGTGCCTGTTGTTGTGCACGCGTGGAACGGGTCCCGACAGTCCGGCTTCATGGTACGTGCCGACTTGTCGTGTCGCCTTTGTTCCCGCCGCGAAAACTGCTGAATTGCTGTCACTAAGAATGCGTGCTGAGTTTGACTGGGCGTGTGTAATTTTGCGTCGTCAAATCTGTGAAGTGCTTTCTATAGAAAGCATACTATAACATTGTGATTTTGGAAATGTTTTATATACACACATGCGCCTTCAACTGTGTCTTATATGAATTTCCAACTGTGCCCGTGTTCTGCGTCCAAAACCTTGAAACAAAGAAGTGCAAGGGTTCTTCCATATCACCCGAATATCATTGTATCAGTAATAAGCCCCATTTGGTGCCTGTCCCTTGCCATACTTGCGTGTAACCTGGTCATTTTTTGTAATCATATTTTCATCATCTCTCTATATCCCCGCCACGCCTTGACTCCCAAACTTCTCTTCTACTTGTTCAAATCATCATGACAGAAATATAACAGGATTGTGTTCTACGGGTACGCCCTGTTTGTATATGTATACTTCATTTGCAAGATATTTATTTTATTGTTTGTTTTATCCCTTCTCGTTCTTATTAACAACATCAGATACGTATTTTTATCTGTGCAAATCAATACATACATTATGTATTTGCGATGATAAAGTTTATGATAATATGTAGCATCTGTGGCACAAATAGTAAACAAATGTGTAAACAAAAATGGAAAACAAACAAACAAAGCGGATCACAGACATAGGAACAAACATTCGGCTTTGTGAAGTAAAAGTTAGGAAAGGTATGAGAGGAAAAGCGTAGAAATGAGAAAAACTGATTACTTTTAAAATCTGATGACATCAAGACTATCATTTTGAAGAGTATTGGGATCACTGATCACTGAATGGAAAAATGAACGTGAAAAATTGTGAAACTTCTATAAAATTCCAGAAATGGTTTTTCACAATCATCCCAACTTTAAAACGATCTGTGTTTTGGAAGATTGCCAAGAATGGTAGAACATCAGTTACGTTTTATACAGTCGAGACAAGTTGAAGTTGAAAATTATTTTGCATAGAAGCTGGAGAACTAAGGAAAAATTCCCGAGAGCTCTTTTTTCCTAAAGTAAAGCTAAGCCAGCGGAACAAGACTGCAAAGTGCAATATGCCTCCGAAAAAGTTTATTTCAGCTCTAGAAATCGAGATCTTATATTTCCCACTGACAACCCAATACTCTTCAAAATTTGCACCAATTTGCAATAATTTGCAATAATTCTACGAAATGTTAGTGAAATGTTTTGTACTCGTGTAAAGGCCACAGGAAGTTATTATGCTGTATGTTAGCTTATGTTCATCTACAAAGAACAGCAATCTTGAAAAAAAAAACAATATTTTGCGAAGAAAAAATGGCAAAAATGAAGTGATAGCCGCTTATCTACTGACGTTGAACAAGGTGGTAGATCAAAACCGCCGTGTGGTCCGTGAATCTGCTGAAAATTTCTTGTATTGCTTATCTTGAGTGCAAACAATGCGGATCATGTGTTTGGACAAAATTTGTCTGCTAAATCCCGCCCCCAAAAGGCTATGATAGGCTTGCGGATACGGTAGGAAGCATTGTAAAATCATAGCATTCCTTGTAGTCGATTGGTATGACTCATATGACAGGTTACGGTAAGCAGGGAGGTCAAATAACAGGAATTTATGGCGTTTTTACGATGCCGTTAATTTTTGGGGAAGTTGAGGTATTAGGTGGGTCCCAAAGTTCTTGCCGTTTTTTACCTATTCTAAAATCGTTCAGAATGATGATAGACAAATCATTCAAACAGTATCCTATGCAGAATATCTTCCTCTTTCCAGCAGCTATGTTTTCGAAGTGACTTTTTCGACAAGCGCTGAGATAATTGTCGAAAACTAGAACCCTTCATTTTTATTGTGTCTAACTTTCGCTAATTTTCAGAATTCTCGATTTAGACTTTTGAAGGTGCCTCAATAACCATCTGATAGAGGAAACCTTTTGCAAATTAATGCACTTTTTTGCATTAAATGCATTTCTCTGGCATACTTTTTAAAATTACTAAAATACATTTTCCGAAGTTACCAAATTTTAGACTTGGCTCATTCTGACCTCGCAAAACATCAGGCGTACAGATACGATTCGGTGCATTTTTTTCTTCTCTTTCTGACAGCTACTTTCCTCCGCGAAACATGCGACTTTTGCAGCAGAATCGCTGCACTTCCCATTTTACGGCTGTGGAAGGTTGTAGTCGAATTTCCGAAATCTACGCATACTCGCGCCGTAATCGCTCATTTACTTCGCAATACCAGTGATAGTAATAACCGAGTTTCAGAAGTTCAATATTTTGGGGATTTGGCGGTGTTTGGTGCAATCATGTGTCACGCGACTTCAAAATTCAATGCTGTGGTATAATTTCAGCAAAATTCTATAGAGGTAGCTGAGAAAATGCAAAACACTGCATTAACTTGCAGAATGATTACCCTAGGTGGTTACTGGGGCACCTTCAAAAGTCTAAAATGAAAATTCTGAAAATTAGCGAAATTTATACATGGTAAAAATGAAGGGTTTTAGTTTCCGGCAATTATCTTAGCGCTTGTCGAAAAAGCCACTTCGAAAACATAGCTGCTGGGAAGAGGAAGAAGTTTTGCATCGGATATTGTTTGAATGATTCGTTTATCATCATCCTAAACGATTTTAGAATAGGTTTAAAAAACGGCACGAACTTTCGGACCTACCCAATATTTTGATGTGAAGGTTAAAATTTCCATCCAGTCACAACGGAGATCAAAACTTTGTAAAATTTCTTCTGTAGGTTTTTATAAAATGCATCCAGACATACCAAACTTGGAAATTTTAACAGTTTTCAATTTCTCCTTACTGGTTTTATCTCAAGGCTCATTCTTGAAAATACCGAGAACGGAAAAAGACACTCCGCTGCGTTGAAATAGAGCCTGAGACTGATTTTTTGTGACAACTTTTTCTTTGAAAAAACCGTCTCATGACAAAAATGATTGAAAGGAATGAATAAAAGGTGACAACCACCCTTCGCAACAATTTTTTTGATTTGGTCGCGCTCTCTCTCACAGTTTCTTTAATCCACTTTGGGCAAAAAGCAGAAGAAAAAATAGTGGAAAGCGGTCTTTGGTGTCACTGTGCTTGCTCATCTTTTTTGTAAGATTTTCAGAACGTGAAGAAGTTCGGAAATGGCGGAATCACAAGACAGTTTGGAAAAAGCTAATTGCTGAACTTAGTTTTTCTTCCAGCAAAACAAAGACTGCAAAAAAATCGCATGCCTTGTAATGTTAATTTTTCTGAACTTGGGGAAATCTCAGCTGTTTTCTGTTATTTTTTGCGTTTCAAACTCACCATCCCATCTTCATTTTCTCTTCAAAAATACTCAGAATATAAAAACGTGGAAAAATTAGTAAAATAGTACCAACTCACAATCAGATACGGAATCCGGAGAGACTTGCGGATGAGGATGCACTTGATTACTTGGGTGATACGTTGTGTTTGGGAGATTCATTTCAATATCCACAGCTGTAATGAAACTGTCATAGAGGATAAGAAAATTTTTCAAAAAAAAAATGAAAAGACACATAAAATATAATTCTACGAGGAGAGCCGAATGTCACACAATAACTCGATGTCGGTAGTTTCACTCAAATTTACAATCTGATGCAGGTGTTAGCTGATCACTGGATACTGCAGACCAAATATTTCTGCAGAAATAAATTTAATATCGATTTGCAATGTTATAAAAATTCATGAGCTAACTGCCCAAGACTTGAGTAGAAAATTCCACCAAGATTTACAACTTTATAGCGAATCTCTGTGGACTTCAAAACATTCAAACAATTAAAAATTAGTGGAAGAAAAACTATGTAATTGTAGAATTGCTCTCATAGATGTTCTTAAAGCACACATACGACGCTCAGAAGTGATATATGAAGATTTTTGGAAAAGTAAAACTTGCTTTTTTCTTCTTAATTTAAAATTTTTTTGAGAATTCTCCGCAGTTTGCGATGTACAAGCAAAACCGCAAGATTGCCAAGATCTTTCTGTTTCTCATTCATGGAAAATAAAGAGATATCAGCTTACTACTCATCAACTTGCCCACTTAATGTCAAAAGGAAAATTTTAAGAAATGTAGATGCTCCATTTTTTGTGTATACATCAAAAACCGTTCCTGTGGATTAAACAGGAGGAGATCATTTGAAGGCATATGCGTCCGGAGTCAAAAATATCTTTCATATGGGCTGATTTTGATTCGTGAACATATGGAATCAAAGTTGTTCACTTTTCGTTGCGTAATAATCGCTCTGCGAAGCAAAGTCGAGTCATATGCATATTGTATTATCTCTGTGTATACACAACATGCGCGGAATCCCACGGTTAATGTGCTTACAAAATTGCTAGTTGCAGTTTTTCGTTCTCTCTCTTTTAGAGCAATCTAGATTTGCAAGGTGGAAAGTTACTTCTATCCCTTTTGGTCTATTAAGACGCATATTATTAGGGCTGGCTAAAGGGCCAAGCATACTTCACGCGATTTCAGTCGCGACGCGATTTGGCAATTCGCCAGAAGTCTTAAGATCCAACACTAGCAAACTGCACATGCATAGTGTGTATAACTTACGTGGATTGATAAAATGCTCTTCTTCCGTACATTCAGAAACCTCTTACAGTGAGTTATGGACAGTTGGAATATTTCCAAATCGCGTCGCGACTGAAATCGCGTGAAGTATGCCCGGCCCTTAATAAGTAAGTTCGGTCGCTTTTGCGGCTCTTACAAATGCTGCAGACAAATTTTTGTCCAGTCTTTGACTTCCCTGGAAAGAGGACTTCAGTAGGAATTGGAGAATAAATTTTGTTTGTGTTAGAAATAAAAATCCGCAAAGAAGTGAAAAACCCAATTTCTCCAAAGTGATTACGAAGAAATGTGGTTTTTTGATGTAAGACTTTCAAAAAGGCAGATCACAACTTTCATTAATATTCAATAAATAGGAAAAACTCCTCTGTATTCACATACCAAGCTGTTGTTCTCTACATCGATACAGCATGAAAGAAACTTAAGGGGAAGTCAAAGAATTGAGCTTTTGGAAATTTAGCCACGTTGAGACATAACTGTCCTACTGATGATAAAAATCCTAAATATTTGGCATGTGATAGAAAAAGCTTTGAACTACCTTCCCTCAAGAATCATGGAGAAAGCAACAAAAAAATTCTTTTTGAAGACTCGTGTGCCAAAACGAACTTATTCAACCTAATAGTAAGTGTTCAGCGTAAGCACGTAAAGGGCCGGGCATACTTCACGCGATTCCAGTCACGACGCGATTTGGCAATTCGCCAGAAGCCTTCAGTTCCATCACTAGTAAACTGCACATGCACAGAGTGTACAACTTACTCAAATTGTTGAAATGCCCTATCTTCTGTACATTTATAATGTCCTTACAATGAGTTATGGACACTTGGAATATTGCCAAATCGCGTCGCGACTAAAATTGCGTGAAGTATGCCCGGCCCTTAAGGTACCGTCGCCAGTGATGTGTAATCTCACAAGTGAGTGGTACCTTCATGTATATCTTTATCCTACGTCTACTGTAGACAATTCTTCCATTGTGTATACCCCTTTGTGACTAGCAACAAGGTGCAAACGAGAATTGCATAAGAATTCTTCACAATTTCATCAGCTCTCATCACGGGATTCGGTGATAAATTATCATCTGATTCGATGACGTGAGTTTTTCACACTAGTCGTTAATCACAAGCGTGATAATTCTCTACGAGTTTTCGTATTTCGTCGTTGACAAGCACTAGTTTAATGACGACAGTAAATCATTTTAGTTCGCGTTCATCGTCCAGTTTCCATAGAAAAAAGGTCATCTTTGTAGGACGATTAGAAGGAATTGGCTGAAGATAAAATTCATAGCTCCGGAAGCGCGGGGATCTACAGTCTGGATATAATTTATGGTGAAAATTGCAGGAGTTAAATATAAACATTACAGTAGGGACTTTGGTGCACTTTTAGAAATGCACGTATTCTTGGAAGAGACGGTAGATGCAAGACGGTCAAAATCTTCAAAGAGCATAGGGGATTTTCTTTGAAATTGAACAAATTAAAATTTACGAATTTTTTCCCACAGTTAGCTATTTTCTTTCAGACAAATCCTGATCATTTTTGTTAAGAGCCGTGCTGTACCTTTAAGACAATGTTTTTGTGGTGTTTTATTATTTATGGGATAGGTAAATAAAGCGTGGAATACAGCAAAACAGCAGAAAATACGTACCCTTTGATTCAGCTGGCTTGGCGGCTGGAAGGCGGGGCTTCGTGACCTAATCAAGGCTAGGTAATGTTCAAAGAGCACGTGCGTGGAGAGACGCAGACTGCGTCGCGGGAGCGAGCTACCTCAACAAGGTCACAAAGCCTCGCCTTCCAGCCGCCAAGCCACTTGAATCAAAGGTTAGGTAAAGCGCGGAATACAGAAAAAGGAGATAGTACAGATAGGATTCGGTTCGGTTACGATAAAGGAACGCATGCCGAATAAAGTGAGATTATGAAATCGGCGGAAGATAATTAATCTATGGCGATTCTATGAGATACATTGAAAATTTTTTCAATGAAAGCTCAAGAATATGTGCACCCGGACGCAAGCAAAATACTGGAGTGAAGACTAAAGCCTCTTCAAGAACGGTGCGACTTTTTTCACTAGCTAGCTTTATAGAATCTGTTCATCTTGTTCAACCAAATCTGGGATTGTTAAGATTTTCATTGGCTAAAGTTACTAATTTGTCGTAAAGTAATGGAGGTTTATTTTTGTTGATACTACGATCAGATACTTCTGCCATCTCAGCGAATAAGAACAAATCCTATTATCGACAGTTTCTAGGGATAGTAATTGTTGGTCAGCGTGAGATTTCTATGTAATCCCTCCAAACGAAAGATATTTATCTCTACCTTAACTTTGTAAAGAGACTCAATTCACAATCCCTCTAGGCGTGCTGAAATGTTTAGATGACTACAAAATTCTCCTTTTTATTCTTCATCCTATGTTCGGCTCGAGGAGTGGAGGTCATGTTTATCGCTGCGGTCCTTGCGCTCTTTGTACCGATAATAAGGAAAGTTGTCAAAATTCCTGTTTGGGAAATTGTGGGTGCGTTATGAATTCAAGCCAAAAATTTACAAGTCGAGAGTAAAGGCTTTTTTTGCAGAGAGAATCTTTCATTGAACGTATGTCAAACTGGCATCTATCACTAATTCTACGGCAGGGCTCGGCATAGCTGGCACCGGGTTAGCTGTATATCATTTTTGGGACAAAAAGCGAAGAAGATATCGTTTTTGTAGCCGAAACGACACAAAGATTGCGACTTTTTAGTCGACGTTTTTTGAGGGTTTTTTACGTTTATTGTTTAGGGTCAGGAAGGACTTCGTACAATTTTCAAGATCAAAGGTGACCCTCCTGAGGTTCTGGCGTCATCGAAAAGCCAAAGTGTCAAGATCAACAGAATACGGTAAGCTTTGTGAATTGTCAACCATACAGTAATTTTACAACGAGGACATAAAAAAGTCCTTTTATGAGAAAACTTCCATGCGCACATAGAAAGCAGGAAATTCCCAAGCAATAAACACTTTGTTGCAGAAAAAACACTTTACGATGTCAAGTTTCAACCAAAAATAAACGCATAGGAGCCCATTTGTTATATTTTGATGTATTTAACCACATGATTGGAAAACTGCTGCAAACAATAATTCTTCATAACTTCCCCGATAAAGAGAAAAGAAAATGTTGCAAGTTCCTGTTCTAGGGTCATTATTTCTGATGTTTATTGTGGGAAGCGATGAATAAATTATTTTGATTTATAGATGTGGAGGCAAATAAATGCCGTTCTTCACCTAAACAGGTGCAGATGTAAAGTATAAAAAGCTGCTGTACGCTTTTAAATGAAATTGGAGGAACTCTAAGAATGAGGGACAAAGGCTTATAGATACTCGTAGTGGGATTGGTTGAGCGAACTTCCAAGGTTGATAACACTTCTTTATCCTTACGCGCAAAATACTAGAAGCGTTTTGGATTAGCGCCAAAAATCCAAAAATAAACCGGAAGGAGGAGTGTACCGCCATAAAGAGAGAACTCGCGCCTTATCAGTCCCTATGCGGATTCGAATATGAGGCCGGGTCATCCAGGCACGTATAAAAGAGCTGAGGTTGAGTCTTGTGTATAGTGGTGGTCCTCGGACTTCCGTCTTGTGCTATCTAAGGTGAGTACTGTGCTTGTGAATATGGTTTTGTTTAGCATTGGCCTTGTTCTTGAATGATACTTTATCTATTGTTGACGTCTGGACGAGTAAGTTCATATACTTTCGGCTTGCAGGCTCTGAAGAAGGCGAAAGCGCCGAAACGTTAGCGAATAAAGAAGTGTTATCAACCTTGGAAGTTCGCTCAACCAATCCCACTACGAGTATCCACCATGCCAAGGTTAAGAGACAGCCGAACCTGGACAAAGGCTTATAGAAAAAGTCAATTGCAAAATTCCCATAGAATCGAAATGAGTACTTTACAGAGAAATTTTTCGGGAACCTATGCAGACCCGAGGACGAGGGGGGGGGCGGAGGAGAATGTACCAAAATATTGAAAATGTTAAACAGTTCAAAAAATGTAAGTATCCCAATTTCAATTTATTTATTTCTTTATTTAATTATGCATTCAATGATGCGCCTAATGAACGAATTAGTTCGATTGTAGGACAGATTGACAAATTTTTATCAAAGTTCAAAAACTTCCTAAATCTTTCAACAAAAACATGGCCACTAAAGCGACCCTTTTTTTGAAAAGCGTGATTGAGCCCCGTCTATTCATTCGATAAAGCTTTTTGGTCTCCTTCGTCCACTCTCAATTCTCCTGAAAACTTTTTTCGATGCTGTTCGTTCCGGGTCCTAAAAATACAAGAAAAGGGGATCAGATCAGTTTCTACTACGTCGTGAAATTTGCACTCAAAACTGTGTGAAAAATAACTAGTGCAAAAAAGATTAAGTCTAAAAAACGGATAAAACAACACGCGTCAAATTCCAGAGTCATACTGCACAAGGTACGCAATTGCACATACTACCGATCAAAGCCACTGACAATAAACGGAGGTCGGCTCGGAATTTTGAAAGAGGGATGTGCTTATAACGCAAAATTTGCCTCTTTCACAGCAAGCCTAAGGAATGAAATACTATACCTCTAGTGCAAGGCATGTAGTACTTTTCGCACATTACTTTTCCAGCTACTCTGAAAATAATCACAGCAATCACTCAGCAAACCACACTACCTTTGATATGACTAATACTGAATGATACAACTGTACTACATAACCTTTTAATCAACTGGTTTGGCGTCTGAAAGGCGGGGCTTTGTGACCTAGTTACGGTCGTTCGCGCTCGCGACGCAATCTGCGTCTCTCTCGCGCGCCTGCTCTCTGACCATCTAACCTTAATCAGGTCACGAAGCCCCGCCTTCCAGCCGCCAAACCAGTCAAAGGGTACATGCTTCTCTCTCCTCAATCAATGCATTCATCACTCACTCATTCAAAACATCACTCAACTTACCAGCTATATGATGAATTCTACACCAATGACTTCACTGAAATTGGAATATGTTGTAGTGAGGTAATAATTGAGATTTACAAATTGTTCACACCATGCTACTGCAGTCGGAAATGGATTTCGTTAAACTTTGTCTTACTAGCAAAACTTCTGCAGAGCAGTTGTCAATCCTCATTTAGACGGGGCTATTGCAAAAAGTTTGTATACTTATGTATCATGTACGCTTTGATTCAACTGGCTTGGCTGCTAGAAGGCGGGGCTTCGTGACCTAATTAAGGATAGTAATCAGAGAGCACCGCGACAGAGACACGATGCGTCGCGGGCGCGAGCGGCTTCAAATAGGTCACAAAGCCCAGCCTTCCAGCCGCCAAGCCACTTGAATCAAAGGTTATGTCAATCTCAAATCACTATTACTACTCTCATAAGTGAAAGAACCGCTATTTCTGTAAATTGCTTATAAATTGCACAAATCGTGCCGCTATGAATAGCGAGTTTATACTTGCCTAGGGTGGCGCAACACAGTTCAGGGACCGACCGCGCCGCAACCGCTCGCAATGCTAATTTAATAAACAAAAGCTAGCGGGGTCCGTTTTATCTCAACGGGACTAAAGAGTGTAAATGCAGTTGAAGAAGGGAGAAGAATAGACGAGCGCAGATACATGTGGATATTCAAAAAACCCGGACAGAGCGAGAAGCTGTCCGTTAGGCAGCGCGGTGATCTACGGTCGCGTCGCATGTGCGGATCCGCGTCGCGGATTTGGTTGTAGATGCGTGCGCGGGTACTACCGATGTAAATGTGGAGAGAAAGCAGTCTTTATTTCAGCAAACTTTCTTATTGAAGTCGCTCGAGTTTTGTTCAAAAAGCTACAGTTTCGTATTGCCTTTAATATTTGCCTTTGTTTTCTTTCAAACAGCATGCATTCACACGTTTCCAAGAAGGTACTAAGCCTATCAAAAAAAAAGGAAGAAAAGAAAACTTTGGGCAGAAACTAATAAAGAAAACAATAATTCAAGGTTACCAGGAAAAAGCAAACGTGAGAGAAAGACACACACCAGATCGTTGCCATGGATCTTCGCCGTTTCTTGTCCCATTTGAGGATGCGGTACGAAATTTGCCACTAAAGTTCAGCGTTGAAGAACTGAGAGATAAAATATCATTATTATGTTGCAAACACACTGCAGTCACATCACACACAAGTACTATGCCACTATGTCAATCATCACATGCAACTTACTTTTCATAGAATTGTATATATTGCAACTCCGATCTAGAAAATGATATGTATTTTAGTATTGTAAGCGTGAATTTTCTTCTGATTATCATAGTGTGGATCTGTCCAAAGCAGCAGTGTGCCGAGCTGCTCCAACGCGGTTCCAGCGCCGTGCCAACGCAGGAGCCTGCCGGAACCCGTATGAACGTGCCCTGTACTAAATCGAGCGGGTGTGTTCCGGCACGATGCTAGCGCGGCGCTGGCACAGCGTTGACACTTGAAGCTTTGGACGCATTTTAGATTCAAGACATGAAGGGTCGCCAATTTCTTATCTTATCGAATTTTATTCAGTCACAATTTCTTCGTAAATCAACAATTCATCGATCGTATGAGTTCTAGTGTTGCACTGATTATATTCGTTAGAAGTAAGAAGTAATTGTTAGAAGTAATTCATTATAGATCCATGCCATGAAACCGGTTCATGACTGCTTATAGGTTTTTTTTCTTCCTAGCTCAAAAGCAGTGCCGGCACATCTGCGTATGCGGGACTTTGCTGCCCCAGCGGCAAATTGTATAGTTCATTCGTGACCGAAAAATGCTACTTCCAATTCCCGCCCAGACCGTACTCGACGTACTTCTTCGGAACGGACGCTCGCTCTACTTCCATTTCACTATCATTTTTGCCCTATCCAGGCCTTTCCATTGTATTGATTCCAAATATGGAATGTAACCTATGTAAATCAAGGCCCTCTCCCCATTTTGACGCTATTTTTGAAAAACGTGGACGAGTGCTGGCGCTAGCCTCGTCAAGCAAGTGCGAAACGTCAAACAGTATATGGTTTGATTGCCGAAAAGGAAGAAGCTCGGCACTATTCTGGTGTTCCACCTTTTGTTTCGGGACTGTATGGAAAATCTAATATCAATATAATTTCTGCAAGGGCTTTTGGCGGTCATTTGTTTGCATTAATATGAAGAAGTTCAAATAAGGTATAGACCGTCCGCGCAAGGTGCATGCTACGCGCTCCTCTTTCCTCGTGCACTCTCGGCGCTTGTTTTCTCTGCGTCTCTTTCAGTCATGAACTGTTTTCACAATAGCGTTGCTCTTCAAGCACAGTACGGACAGTCTATACCACCGCTCGCGCATTCAGCTCGCTGCCTTTCGCTTGTCTTAACACGTTATTTAACAAAATTCAAGACGCTTATTGAAGTTAACATGTTGAAAAGATAGAAAGACAGCGAACTGGATGTTGATGGTATCTACAGGAACCTCTCTAGGGGACAGAGATGCTTATTATCCTCTCCCCCCCCTTCCCCCTCCTTTCTCATGCTTTGTTACTACCTTAAAACAAGCGGCTCCACCCCGCGCTGGTAAGTGGTACAAGTCTGCATGCCTGCAATATGTGAAACTACACGCTCTGTCGCAGATGTCCGCGCGAGACCGCCCCCTTTTGGCGACATATAATTCTCCACCCGTGAACAAGCATTCGCCTCAAAAAGATGATACGCAAATCTGTGCGGGACAGGAACATTGCCAAGAGAGAAGTTTCAAAGTATGCTTTACAATGTATTTATCAAATTTTGTTTCGTGATAACAATCCAGTAATTTCCGGTTTCAACTAATCAGGAATGCATGCGCTTATTCTGGCTACTGTGGATATAGGACATGCCATGCATGCCATAGGTGATGCAGTTTTGTTAGTTCTACATCTAATTCAATCTATTCCTAAACTATCACTATTTTTTCTTCTTCTTCCATTTTGTTCGAATCACACAAAAATAATATTTGATCTGCTCCTTCTCTGCAAGAGAGAAATTGTCCACACTCAAGAATTTAGTGGAAAAATCATAAACACTCACTTTGACCTAGATCGAACCTTTGATAAACACGTATCGGGACTATTACGTCGTTCTTGTGTACGTTGCCGTAAATGTCGTGCATTATGTGCAGACACACAAACCCGTCGTAGATAGCTTCTCTGTAATCATACACAGCTTGGGTAATTAATTAATTGGTCTTTTTCGGTTTAGACCGTATCCAAGCTGAGAATAAAAAAGTTCATCTGAAAGGACGGACCTGTTCCTCGTCGCTAAGCTCGCTCAGCTTGTTTTTATGTGGTGTCATCACTATTTCGTGTCGATTTTTCACTAGGCTGAAACAGTTGGTTTTTATTTTGAAAAAATTGTTTACGTCTGGATGAAATTAAAGTGAGATTAATTGCTTGGAAATGACGAAACTAAGGGTTTCGGGAAAAAATTGTCTGGACTTCTGGCGGGATTTTCCCTAGTGGAGCAGAAAAATATAAATGGAAATTTTGAACATGATTAACGAACTTATTATTCAACTATCGCAAGAAAAAATTTTTTCTTTCTTTTTGAACTTTCAAGAAATATTTCACTCCGAAAACCAAAATAAATCAAGAGGCTTGCAACATTCTATAACATATAAAGAATCGCAGCCAATTCAAAAAACACCAGATAGCGGGAAACCGCGGCGGGTCCCGAAACGAACGCTCTCAATTCTAGCACCTTTAGATTACCGGTTCACTAGTTATAAGAAATAGTAGAATTTTCAAAAGAAGTGCCTAGAAGGATACGTTATAGCATCAAATGTAACATTTTATTCTACTATTTTTTCCTGATTCAGTTACCTTTTATCAAAAAAGAAATTCCACCTTTTCAGACTAGTCCACATGAAAATTTTTTTGTAAACTAGAGTCCTTATTTTGGAGGACTTTTCGTCTCCATTATTTGTGAAGCATGAGCTAGCTTTAACGACTTTTGTATGTTTTTGTCTAAAACTAGGATTGGTCCATAATTTCTGAGCAAAAGATCATGATGATGTGAATCTCACAAACTTATGATCAAATTGAAAACTTGAAAATTATCAGTGTACTGAAGTGTTTAGAAAAACACCTATCGAAAAACTTCAAAGTAGCAAATCTATATATTAGAGGTGTTATAAAAAAAGCCAAAATGTCAAGCAAAATTTGGAACTATTATTAAGTAATTGAGGAACAACCGATCAGCATGAAATCTCTCAAGTATAAAAATTAGGATTTGAAACCAAAATCAAAACTAGATTTTCTGCTTTGAATCTTCAAGCACTCCATGCGAATCTTGAAAAAAAATCCAGAGTGAGTATTACTTTTGACAGCTTGCATCGTTGTGATATGCTAATACGAGATGGTTTGAGCACTGTTAGAAAGCACAAAATTTTCTCTGCCCAAAACATATCAGTTTGTTCATATTCTTTTGAATGCAAAGAAAAACAACTTTTTCATGAGATTTTGCTGTAAAATCTATGTAACAACGTATCATTCAGTTCCGCTATATTTCGTCCAAAAATTCATTATTTCCTGCTTCACGAATACTAGAAAGAAGTGCGGCTATGCACGTAGGTCGGTCAGTGTTGCAAATTACGTGGACCATATCTATTCTTTTTATGTGCATCAGAGTTGAAGAAGCATTTGTAAAAAAGGGCTGTGGTGAAATAGTGGGTGTTTTTTTTACATGGCGATGATTAAGAGATGAGTAAAATAGTTTAGCCCATGACAGTAATTTTCGAGATCAAGTTGACGAGTAGAGGAGAATCTATCTACATAAATTCCCTAGGTAGTTTTATTGAAGAAAGAAAAGTTTGTACGACGCAGAAAGTAAGAACATGGTGAGCTGAAGCCTAGGCTGTGTTCAGAGTTGCACGTGTGCCAGCGCCATGGCACTCACGTGGCGCGCATCGATCGATAGACGCGCTGGCACGGCGCTGGCACAGGTAACTCTGAACGCAGCTTCAACTCCGTTTTGTTTTGAGTGTATTTCAGAGCTCCTCAGAAAAAACACTTGAATTCTTTAATCAACATTTCAATTATTTATCCATTTTTAAAAAATGAGCTAAGTGGCTGTGACTTGTTTTCACTCACTTGATTTTACTAGCACTTCCAACCAGTGGATGTACTGTTCGTTCGGCCGATTCGATACTGTACAACGGGGCAATCTTATCGATACCCCAGAAATCGTCTTTCTTTTGTTGTGGTATCCTTGCTAGATTCTCCTCAACCATGGAGTAGCCAGTCTGAATAAAAGGAAGCAATTTAGAAGCGCTTCATGATTTTTCTAACCCGCCACCTTTGCGTTAAAGTGCTAGTAGAAGCATTATGTGGGAAATGAGTCTTATAGAAAACCCCAATCTCAGGTCTCGCAAAGAAAAAAACCTAAGCGTTAGTGAATAGACTCGGGTGCAGAAAGCAACTGTTATATGGTTCGTCCCAAGATTCGTGCTATCTCTGCTCTGCGTCTCTGACCTAGACCGCGCATGGCTAACATGTTAGCGACATGTAACAACATTGACAATATGTAACAACATGCAACAACATGATGTCTTCAGGCTAAAAGCTTCTCGTTGTTGCCAATACGCTGTTCACTTGGCATGTTGCCAAAATGTTACCTATACGCGCCCGCCGCAGGTCATAGACGCAGGGCAGGGTAGCAAAAATCGTGGTGCGGACGTTATGTCAGACGAGAAGCAGGGCGATAGAGGAAATTGAGCGGGAGAGGAATCTAAGAGAGTGAGACGAGCATTGATCAACATCGATTCCCAGTCGAATTATTGATCTACACTCGCACAAGAAAGAATCGAGAAACGTATAGGACGATTTCTGTCACCTTTGTTGGTTTCCACATTGTATCCACAATAGCCAGTCCTGTCTAAATATTACAAAGAAAAATCACTGCACTCTGGGAAAAGGTTGTACTAATGAGGGTCAAAAAGCTGAATTCCACACTGAGATTATTTTTCAACTTCATGCTTAGCAAATATCACTCGCATGCTAAGGAATGAAGGGAAGACAACAAGTTTAGAACTTGGAAAAAGCAGTCGAGGCGTATTCGTGACCCAATAGTGCGACTGCACACAATGGCTCATTGTGCACAGATTCGTGGTTTCACCGGCAACCTGTAGGCATGCCTTACGTATAGCTGCTTTTTTTTAGCTGTTCCTTCGCTGCAAAAAATGTTATTTGGAATGCAATCACGAAAATACGCAGATTTTTCATGGAAGCGTACTTTGGTAAGGTTACGATAACTATTTATCAAAATTTCAGAGTTTAGTGAAGCACATGGGAAGATTATTCGATATGCGAATTACAATTGTCACATACATTTTTTTCGATAAATTGTCTGCCGCGGGGATACGATAATGTTTACAACTACGGTAAAGAGTATGTAATATTCCTGTATCTTCTCGTGCAAATTCAGGATTATTTAGGAATTTGATCTACTGTAAATAACTAGCGTAGTTCAGTGAAGAGGGCATCAGGCTCTCTTCTGTAGCAGATTACTGATTTTTGGGAAAATGTAATATAGCAATCTCGTCACACTTTTCTCACTAAAGGGAGGAAGGGAGAGGGGGCGGGGCAGGAAGAGGAGGAAGGGATCACTGCACATAGGAATAACCTTGATAACTAGGTCATCTTTTTTATGTAGAGGCAGTGGCGTACCGAGGAGGGGGGCGGGGGGGGGGGGGCGCGCGCCCCCCCCCCGAGAATGGGTCGCGAAATTTTTGAAAGTTACTTATATGGGTTATAAAAATGTGTAAGTGACTTGTTTGTTTTTGTAAATAATTAAAATAATTTTTAAAAATTTTTAAAATTCAAATTAGCCTTGTAAAAAAATTTTTTTCGGGAGCGTGGCTGACGCCACGCCCCCTTTTTCCAGATTTTAGAGGTCGGGGACCCGAAAAATTTTGGGAAGCACTCCCAAAATTTTTTCGGAGTGCGTGGCTGACGCCACGCACCTTCTTTGGAAAAATTTTTTTGTCGCGCCCCCCCCCCCCGAGCCGAAATCCTGGGTACGCCACTGTGTAGAGGGAAATTTGGTAACATCTAACGAAAAAATGGCGCAAACTTGTGAATGTGGTCTGAACTGACCCGAAATGAGCGTATTGGGTGCAATCGCACAGATTAGGTTTACGAACTGACTCAACCTTTCACACTTTGTAAGGCTGGCAATTGTAAGAACCGCAAACTTCGTGGAGTCATGATCTCATTAGATAAACTTACAATCAAGTTCTTATCAATAACATAGTTGCATTCGAGGTCATCATCGTCTTCACCTAATGGATTCAGAAGAGCTTCGGCGACCTGGAAATGATTGAGAAATAAAAAAGGTAAAATACACGTGAAGAAAAATTCAATATTTTATAGAATAATCAGTGAAGTGCGATCACTTCAGAATTTTTAGTTTAATCTATGAAATTATGTAAATCTGTAAGATTCATTGGGAGTCAGACGATGTGGTACTGTAGTGATATTGTAATGGTACTGGAATCAGTCTGAGAACGTGTGAGATTGGTATGATGCGAGCAGGCAATTGTTTTTATCATTGCTTATTGCAGTGTTTAGGCAGAGAATAACATGTCGTTGGTAGGCTCCGCTCGTGCGGGCATCTGTCACTAATTGTGCATCTCTTCACATTGTAGTGAGTACCAGTTTTCCGCGCAAGTGTAGCCTGCCAGTGGCACCTGGAGTCTTCCCGGTGTTCAAACAACTTCATCCGTCGAAGGCACCCATTGATTCAACGGGCTTGGCGGCTAGAAGGCGGAGCTTCGGACCTAGTTAAGGCTAGATAATGATCAGAAAGCATGCGCGTGACAAAGACGCAGATTGCATCGCGGGCGGTGGCCTTAATTAGGTCGGCCCGCCTTCCAGCCGCCAAGCCAATTGAATCAAAGGATGGGAGTGGCAGGAAGATGTATGGATTAACATGAATTCCTATATACACGCAAAATTTTTTTATATAGGTGTTTTTTTAAAATGCAAATAAATCCATTGTAGCGTAATAAATGCGTGCTTACCTTCATCCAACCCATATAAACTATAAACTGGATCATCGTAGTAATTGGAAGCCATAGATCAATCTGAAACCATTTCTGTAGTTTAGGGTGTTAGGGAAATGAATATTTACCCCGCTTGGATTAGTTCCCGTAACAATAAATTGCCGACCAAATAAGCATATTACGAAATAAAATCGAACAGCAAGAAAAATGACCTGGAAAATTCATTGAAGTTTCTCAAGTTTGATTCTGACTAAAAAATTAGGACCAAAACTGATTAAATTTGCTGAGAATTGATTTTAAAATAAAAACCTACTTGTGGATATACAAGCGGCACTGGTACCCAGTCATATTTGAGAAGTGCAGCAAGGCCATGACGAAATTTGCTGATTTCCTAAGAGAAATCAAGTATTTTATCATTTGGATTCATTCTGTGCAATTGCACAAACTACAAAGCTCGTGAAAGAGTGGAGCTTGTCCTACTCGCTCGAAGAACTCAAGTTTTTTTAGAAACAAAAATGACTCACATCAATAATTTTATTCATGAGGTAATAGTCCTCTATTTTTCCATCAGCTTTACATTCGTATACCAAATTCACACACCACTGAATTGGTGCCCAGTATCTGGAAGAAAAACTATACTTGCCATCTCCATATAATGCGATCCAGTCAAAATAATAAACCAAATAAGAAATTCCGCTGAAGCATTTTTGATACTGATCGCAAGGAATGCGTCAGATATCATACTGAAATTATGCAACCAAAAATGAACCGCGTAACCAAATTTAGCACAAAATTGTGAAAATAAGCTTTGTACGGTATGCTTTTCTTGATTGCATTCAAATTGTCGATTTGATAATTCAATACTCTCTCACTAAAATACATTTACGACACATGTGATTATGAAGAAGATTGTATACCTGCTATATGGATCCTTGATCTCATCAAGAATTTCCATTTCTTCCTCGGTCATCAAACCTAAAAAGTGAGATTATTTCATATAGCGGTGATAATAATAACGGCATTTAATAATCTTAAGAAGAATTTTAGATGCAGTTTCTCAGTGCGTATAAGATTTTCAGTACATCCTCGCATCCTCCTGTCCTCAGTAAAGGACGAAGGAAAGGGGTGGGGGATGGGTCGAAGAATCTGATGAGCTTCAGAAATGTGCAGTGGTTTTTACTTGTGCGTAGGTTGAGCAGTTTTTTTGAGCTATTGAAAATCTAACTCAACTCCATATAAACTTTTTAGAAGGTGTGTATTATTCAAAAGACTTCAGATCGCCCAACCACCCTCCCTTCTCATCAAAATAATTTGGTTTCTTTATGACAGTATCCTTTGATAGGTACGAGTCACAGAAAATTTCCCAATAAGGGAAAAAGGGTAACTTAGATTTTTTTGAATAAAGGCATTAAAAATGTTTTCTGAATATTTGGAGCCTCTTGGATATTTCTTACACTTAAGTCTTGGAAATACAAATGAGCGAGTGGTCGCCTCAGCCAGAATCCAAGAATGATTGTTTTGAAACGTTGATTTAAAATAAAAATGGCGCAATAACTTTAAACATTCACAAATGTGGACAAATTAGTGGTTTAGAATTGTGGGGGGGGGGGGGGAGAGAAGCAACAATAAAAATTGTTTCGAGCGGACCGACACTTATCGCCCCACAAAACTTTATGAAAAGTTTTTACAAGTATTTGTATGCACCCAATCACGAAAACTTGTGAAGTCCTTAGAATTATTGACACTCCCAAAGTTTCTTTCACAAAACACCCGAAAATTTTTCGAACTATTTACAAATGAGAATAAGTCACTTGCATAATTTTCGATTATGTAAACTACCTCCTAGAATTTTCCGACTATAAGTCACTCCCTTCCTTGTGCGTCTGCCATTAGTGGTTAACAATATGCTTTATTTGAGGGGCCACCGAAACTGATGCATGTGTGTGACATCAGCGTTGGGTACACCGCCCACTTTATTACTTCATAATGTCAAAATCCTTTCAATTTTATATTCTCTTTTTTGCACTTAAGCGGGAAAGCAGGAAGGAGGAAGGGGTGGTTTATATAGCATAGTATCAGCGAGAATCGATAGCACAATATTTAGTGCAAAAAAGGTACTTAAAACATGATTATCCCACCTGATGCCGCCAAGGTGTCCATGGTAGGAAATCGCTTTCGTACTTGCATAGAAATATCTCGAAGCACTAACGCTTGACAAAGCACCATGTACCTTAAAAGAATTTCTATGTTAAAATAAATACAATAATTTAGGTTTGATTCGATATGAGAATAACATATTCTCACGAAAAAACTAATAACATACTCTTTAAGTAACAGCGTCGAGAATAGGCTTTTGAAAAAAAATTCCTTAGCTTTATTTCTAGCTCTTTGAAGTTTTATTGACAGCAGCTTTGCACAAGACTACAACGATCTTTGGAATAAATCTAATTTCAAGCATCGAAAGAATAGCTATGCATTGGATGAAAAAAAATATAAACAAAACGCAAGAAAAATGGATGTCGCTCGAATTTCAATAATTATGTACAAACAAATATGCTCATAACAACATTTTCGCTAATGCAAATTGAAAAAGAAAACGGAAATTTGCTTACCTAACCAGGTTTCTCCGTAATATTCTCGTCGATTCGCCACCACCACGGATATACGAAGCGAATAGAATAGATGCGCTGAACAAAAAAATTATAATTTGAAGCACGCAATTGTAAAAAATTATTTTCAAAGTTCATGATATTTCATTCTGCATCTGCTGCGCATATGTTCACGTCAAAAAATTTGTAGATCTTCACCACTAATTCGCAAAACTCGTCCACTGAAAATTATTATGGAAGGCAAAATGAAACAAAATTCAGTGTTACTCTGCTGAATTATTTCTGTAAAGTTGCAAAATTGATTGTGCGCGTCCAATAAAGCAAGGAATTCTGGCATAAATCTTTTTTGAAGAAAGCCCAGAGGTCCAATCCGTAACAGCTTTTTGATTTGTTTTTGATTTTTAGCCGACGCTTTCTTCTTACATAGTTGCATTTTTGAAAAGCTGAAAGTATTCTTCGGGCCCCTAATGAGGAAAATCAAGGCCCGGCACGAGTTCTTTTTAGGCTTCCTGAAAACGAAGTCCCCCCCCCCCCCTCCTCCCCGACTGTCGAAGATTTTATGGAGCGCAACCCAAAAATCGGAAACGTCGACTGAAAAACTAGTTTTTGTGTTTTTTTTTGAACCACAAAAACGATACCCTCTTTGCTTTTTCGCCTTAAAAACGAAGTTTAGCTTGCTTCCAGACGATCTGTGCCGGTCTTAGAAAAAATGCAGAGAAAACAGCCAAAACAAATCAAAAAGCAACTCAGGCGCTCACGTAATTTCCTGTCACGCTTCCCCATTGAGTTATGTGGTCGCAAATGCAGACTTTGCATGCTGGGATTCATTTTCACAAAATGTTATCCAAGTGAGAACAACTATCAAATATAATATAATCAGGACATACTCATCGATCCATCCAATTCCGTTCAGTATCGACCCCCATCGCCCAACAACGAAAGAGACGAAGAAACCAAGCATAAACGTCAGCGGGATGTTCGAGTCTAGCTTCGAATCCAGATATTTTACGAGGTGTTCAAACCAGCTAAAAAAAGCAAATTTTGAGGATTTAGAACTATCATAAAAATAAGAAAGGATGTAAATTAAGAAGTCTCATACTTTTAATCCTCTGTTATCGTACTTTTATGTGCAGCACCAAAAAATTAAAATTTAGTATGTTGATTTGAAGCAAAAAGGAAAACTTGGGGAGCCAAAAATTTTAGGAACAAGGAAATTTTTGTTAGCTAAATTTTGAAAGATGTTTTGAAAACTTAATGTAATGTAAATGATAATAATTATTAGCACAAAAAAATATTAGGTTGTCCCGAAAGTTTTGTCGGCTTTTTTCATCGCTCGCTAAAACTCACATAGCACCAATCATGAACGGCCTAGGCATTATTTAATTCAAATTTTCATCCACTTTCTTACAGTTATACTTGCTCTCTGATCTGCTCTGTCTTTGCAATGTTATCGCTATGGTTTTTTGAGCATCTCAGCAGTAACGCCAAATTTTCCTGAATTTTAGAATTTTTTTATTTTGATGTTTTCGAAGAGCGCTGATAATTGTTATTTGGAGCAAACCTTTGGCTACAGTGTTCATTTTAGATTACATGAACCGCGTTTACCAAGTCCGTTATAATTATTTATTTAACAAAAAGCGCGGCTTTTCAACCAAATTTAACACATGAAAGTACCAAAAATTCCAAAAAGGCGATTTTTCGAAGCGAATCAAAGTTTATGTTGCATAAATGATGTTTAGTAAAAATTATGTTTCGATACGCGGAAACTCCAAGTGCTTTCTTGTATTTGTTGCAGTTGCGTGTTTCATGACTTTGCCAAAAATCGAGACCTCCGGAGAAATAATTTTTTGAAGCTAAAATCAGCAGATTAGGAGAATTTAAAAATACCAGCTTGTAGTCCGAGAGTTGCTTTATTTCATCTGTGCTTGATCTTTTTCGACACTTTGTAACGAAATTTTTAAAAATTAGCCTAACTTTGAACAGATGAAATTGACGGGTGGAGAATTTTGGCAATTATCAAAAGAAGCATACAAGATTTTGGTATGAAAATGTACATACAAGAAAGGAAAGGAAAAGCTGCATCGAATACATGTTAAAACCCACTCAGGTCTTTATTGATCGTGGTTTTACAATGGCTTGAAAAAACAGACAGAATTTTCGGGACAACTTAATATTAGCGTTCTTTCTATAGCTGTGAAACAAATTGTTATTGTTAAACAAGTTACTATTAAAAAGTTCTTGAAAATATTCCAAAATTGCCTCACTTCCTAAAAAGAAGAAACTAAGAAGTTTTGGGTCTTATGCATTGTCCAATTGCGCTTCAAGAAACTTTTCAGAAGAAGAGGAAAGTGGAGGCAACAGATTTATTCAGAAAACTCTTTGAAAATTTCTCTCAGATTATTTCCATGCTACTGACTAATTTTTTTCCTGGGTCTCACTGAAGTTTCTAAAGAAATCAATAATCTGACCCAACAAGTAAGAGCAGTCAATTGCAAAATTTCAGTAACTCATGAAAGACTATGAATTTCCAAAATCCGTCTTTCCAAGATTGATATCTCAAATTTTTTCCCAGTAAAATGTTGATCTTTTGACATATTGCGGATAAAGTGTTGGTCTACATGCAATATCAACGTGTTCATCATTAGTTACGATATTTTACGTATGATTTGGCCAGAATTGATGCGATCATGATCTTGAGTGTGCTCATTTTTCAAGAAATTGCAAGCCTTTTTGAAAATCGAATCTCACTTTTGTTGATCCGGTTTGAGCACATAACGATAGACACAGCTTATCAGTAGAAAAGCGGCTGTCCATATGAACAGTTGCCCACATACAGCCTGTAAGAAGCAATTTTATAAAACAACAATTTACCGTATTCTGATTACAGTACTACGTGGGTAATGAAATCTGATACCAATATTTGATTACCTTACCTTCCATACACTACCTCTCCATCGAAATAAAAGCTTTATAAAACTTTTAAGATTCGTCTGGGAGACGTCAAGCGTATAAGAAATTGTCATAGCTGATTAGGTCGCGGGCGAAGCATTGTTCTCGGTATATGCTGGAAAAGAGAAAAATAATGAAAAATGTGAGGAAAAAGTCGCAGAAGCGGAAAATATTGTTGCGAAAAGCGAACGTTACAAAGGCTCCAAGACATTCACAATTCTTAATACAATGGTGAAAGAGGGAAGAGATGGGTAGTTTAGCTGAATGAAATGATAGAATGGGAATGATTGTTTTTGTGTGTCATAAAGAAATGTAAAAATAGAGAAAAGGAGAAATTAGAAATGATAAGAAAAGCTGAAGAATAAGATCAAATGACGAATAGCTAAACAGAGAGAAGTACACAACGGATTAGGCACAAGAAATTTCTAGGTTATATAGCATTTAACCAAAGGGACTGAAAAGTGTGAAAATGAAGCTTTGGTCTCTTTTGGATTTATGTGGGAGCTTTAGATTTTTTTAAAGTCATATAATACATAACTAATGATGTTTCTAAGCCTAAAAAGGTCTATTAGAGTCATGGAATTGTAAACGAGACTGATTTTTGTACGTATGTTTTATAATCATATTTACCTTGATAGAAGGGACCATTGGTTTATAGACTCGACAAAGTTTGTGCTAGCGGTGAGATGTTTTTCAACTAAAGATTATGTATGTGCTATATGTGCGAAAACAGCCCAACGTTTTTGACTTTACTATTTTTAGCCTCCATTTCAATTTTTTTTCAGAAATAACAACTCAGATTTTGCGGAGAAGTACGCAGATTAGGTAGACACTTTCGCAACCTCATCTTCTTGAAGGTATCGACATCTCACAAGGAAAACACTTTCACTAAGCATATTTTTCTAAGTACGAGAAGACTTACAGGGATAATCCGCCATGCCTTCGAGGTGGTTCAGAAAAATACTGATTTGGTTAGCTAAAATAGACCTTAAGTTTACTATCCACAGTAGTGAAAAATGTTGCCTCCGAGAGTAGTGACCTTTTTTGAATACTCAATATAGTTTTTCCAATTGGGTAAGATAAGTTTCATGATATTCCGATTTCTATATGCATAAAGTACACAAAAGAGAGAAGACAACGAGAAGAGTTGTTTATTATTATTTATTTATTCAATATGCTCTAAGGCGTGCTATAGAATTAGGGGATAAAAATCAAAGACAGAATGTGTCCATTTACAGGAGACGATATCAAAACACCATGGAATTTTATCAGGTAAAGCGTCAAAAAGTTAAAAAAATAGAAGAAGATGAAGTCTACAACAATTCTCCTTATTACTGACTCATTGAAATAGGATAATCTGGCCAAAGAGTAAAAAGTGATATGAACAAAGTACTTTAGCATTTTCATAATCTCTTGCACCAAATCTATCAGTAATGGGCATACAAATGAGCCGCAGGTATGAAAGCTTTCATACATATTATTTGAACTACTGTATCTCATGTAGAAGGGAGTTATCTATGTTTTTTGTCGTAAATCTCTAGTAATGCTCAGTCCATGGCATTGTGTTTACTATCCACATGACCAACAGTTTAACTAATAATCTAGAAGTTCTGCATGTTACGAGGATGGGATAACTTATTATCCCACATCAAATATTAAGCAGAACATTGAAAGACTCTAACAACTAGTAAGAGCTTCACAAAATTATAATTTGAAATGACGTCACTTGACTCACCTACGTCTCAAGAATTAATGAATAGAAGTGCACATGATTATCAAGTATGCAATTTAAGTGATTTTTGAGAACAATTTATTGATTTTGTAAAATTAACTGTGAGTGCTACAAAAGACTCAGTTCTTGGGACGACAGCAGCACGATCTCGCTATTTATTTTATGGACACTACAGAGCAACACACAGATGATGTTTTTGTTTGCTAAAAGCAGTCAGATAAAAGCAGCAGTAGATGATATTTCAAGTGGAAAATGATAGCTTTAATTTTGGGAGGATAACAGTGGAGGAAAGAGGGACTTGACATAATTTTCCAGATTTTTTGAAGATTCATTAGCCTCGCAAGATTCTTTTGGAAGTTATCACCATCACTTCTCTTCATTCAGAGATCCATCGCTTGATGCCATGTTAAAAGATAGTGATAGTGCATGAAGAAAGATTTTTTGATAGGTCTCAGTTCTCTTCAGAAGATTCCTCAAATTTTGTCTTTCTTTTGGAATTAGCCTCTAACTCCTGAGTTCAAAGCAAAGACATAAATTCTAAGGATGAAAAGAGGCTGATGAACCTTCCAAGAAAAGGTAGTGTCTCACATAAAACTGAGTTGAAACCAATTCAAAAATTGGCAGGCTTTTCAAACAGTTTTTTGTGCAGTTAGGTAAAACAGACTTTTTGTGGAGAATTGCTGTCATTGTTTACTCCAGATTGTGCATCGATGTGTACTAGTTTTCTGTTCACACTCATTCGTACTAATACTCTTGTTTCTTATTTTTATATTGTTTCTATGAGCTTTGAATGTGCCGTGGTGAAAGTCGGGGACCGAAAATTCCCGCATTGAGCGTAGGAAAAAATTATTCACACTATCAATGAGAAAGCTTAAAATTTCTCTATATAGTAGAAGAATCTTGAAGAAGGATTTCAATGAATATCCTATATTTGTCGAGTCGATTCTATGGCAAAACTAGAAAGGCACGAATGAATTATGACGCGAACTAACTGAGTATTTTGATCTCACATAAGTGATAAATTTGTAGAAACCTATACACCAAAACAATGAAAAGTTATTTTGAAGATAAAATAGAAGAAGGAGACTTAGCGAGCAGCTTATAAAAAAAGATTGCATTCTCATGAGTCAGAATTTGCACATTAGTTTTCTCCTTCACAAAATAGTTTCTACATTTCCTCACATCCCTTTCCTCCCACGTTTGAATGTAAAATTCATTCCCCGTGTGAGATTCTAGTGACATCATTTTGGATAGATGGAACTGCAGAGATCGTAAATAAGTCAAATTGCGGAGGATTTACTCGCGAATTCGCAATCGGCCCATTCTTTAGGTGTATTGAAATAGTCAAAAAAAGCTTTTGAATAATAGAAAAAGGCATGTTGAGTGACAAGTCTGAAAGAAGACGGAGGTCTGGACGAATCCGCGTAAACATCCGACTGACAACTAGCGACAATGGTGGCAATTCTCCTTTTTTGAGCATGTCTCACTTTGTTTTGCTTGATAATCTGAGGCAACTAAACTGTCTACAGACTTACAGTACATATACAGTATCCTTATGTATAAGGAAGTCGATTACGATAGAGATAATTCGTAGGAAGTGGCGTCATAGTATTATTTATTTTTGGACTCAAAAAATAATCCTTAAATCAAACATCAAAGATAAGATGAATAAGGATTATCACTTAACTTTGATAAACTAGTAAAATCAATTGATTTTCGAGGAAAACCCGTGACTTGAAGAAATACGTAATGCGATGCACATTTTTTCATGCTCATGGCCTATAACTGTAAGATAGGAGTCTAAATGAGCAAGAAAGCAAGAAGTTACAGTAATTCACGTTATTTAGCCAAGCCCTATATTGGTTGTCGCCATATTCATCTATTTTTTGTCTATTAACAATGTATGGGATTAGAACTGTGGCTCTTTGTATCTGAAAGATGTTTCTTAACACTGGCCCCTCGTTTCCTCAACTCTAATTTCAGGTGACCCCAAATAAATGAAGCTGATGGGAATTTTGTGACGTAAAAAGCACCAAAGCAACACTTTAGCATATAATACCCATCGAAAAAAAAGTTACTAGCAAAAATGCCCAATCCCAATCGCTCATTTGAAGATAGACTCATAGATCATGAAAAATCGTCTTAATACAATGAAATCGTCAACGAATAATGCTAACACGCGGAAAATAGCAAAACTACGAAAAAACAAAAAGAAAGCATGTGTAGGTTGAATTGCATGCTGAAGAAGTCGCGCTCTATCGCAACCGGCGTGCTCAGATTCATATTCGAATCTACCCATCTAGTGACTAGTGGAGTGAGGGCGAACCGACAGATTTAGAAAGAGAAGTTTTTATTAACACTAAATAATGTTTTTTGAGGCTTATTATGACGAAAAGACAAAAATTAACTAGCAATGATCAGTTTGTTGAAGAAAACAGTCCTTCGATTACTCTTTGTGCAAAAAATCTCTTTCCCTTTTTGGGAATGTGAGTTGGGACTTGACAAGATATTTGTTTACGAAAATATCCACTTAACATTGATCTATTCACTTATTCACACATAATTTGGAACTTTTATTGGTATAATAGGATTTGATGCACAATTATGCATGTTCCCTGGGCAGAGAAGATAGAAAAGGGTATGAAATTCATCAATAGCGCCAAGCAAGTTATACCAAAGAGCATTTGGGCATTGGCTAAGGGGGATATCATTTTTGGGCTATACAAAAAATTGTGAATTTTTTTGTCGACGTTTCGTTTTTGAGGTTTTTTTGCGTTTAGGGTTCAAGGTCAAAGGGTACTTCGTAAAAATTCGCAAAAGTCAAGGAGGACTTCATTTTCAAACCAGGGCTCGGCACAGGTGGCTTATTAGCAAGCTTGATATCGTTTTTTGGGACAAAAAGCAAAGAGGGTTTCGTTTTTGTGGCCGAAAAGACAAATTTGCGACGTTTTTTAGCCGACGTTTTGTTTTTTGGAGATTTTGGGATTATGTTTTAGGGTTAAAGGGGACTTCGTTTTTTGCATTTTAACTAGCCAGCTCGTGCCGAGCCCTGTTTTAAACTGGAAAGTACAAATATTCTAGAACTTCGAAAACGTCGCCTTTATTGGGTTTATGATTTGTGTTTATCTCGACAACTGATGCTCGAAGAAGGATGAAATTTATTGTTGTATTTTGAAACGTTTGAAATTGTCTATGTCGAAACAGTCCAGCATTTTTGTTAAAGAACCCTGATTTATTTTCTCAACACCTAATTTCGGAAAACAGGACGTGTACATTTGCATAGCTGAGGCGACAAGTAGATTTTGTTAGCAAGTTGGGGGTTTTTAGGTTTTTCGAACAGAGATCCGGTTTTTTGGTATTTGAAAATTTTTTGGATTCTTCTCCCTAACTTACCGT